GTGAATTTAAGAAAGCAGACGTCGCTTCCTTCCTCTTTTCTTTTCTTCATCCCTTCCCTCCTTTTTTTCTTCCTTTAGGTTAACTTATTTAATCATTCAACTGTGTCATTTTCAATGCACTTGACTAGTACATGTTGAGTATCTCAACCAGAAGATCAAAAATCTGTAATGCTCCAAAATCTGAAACTTTATATGACACCACAGGTGAAAAATTCCCCACCTGACCTCATATGACAGGTTGCAGTTAAAATACAGTGGCACCAAAAATACTGCATAAAGTTGAGGTAGTAATTTCATTTTACAGAACAGTGGTTCCCAAGGCTCAGGGATGGTGGAAAGACATGCTGGTCAATTGGACAAAATTTCAGTAAAAGGTTGAATAGCTTCCAGAGACTTAACACATAGTATGGTGACTATAGTTAATGTGTTATATATCTGAAATGTTCTAAGAGAGTAGCTGGTAAGGATTCTCACCACACACATTCATAAAAGTAATTATGGATGTGATGATAACCATCATAAAGTTGATAAAGTTGATTGTAGTTATCATTTCATTTTATATATATATATATATATATATAAAATGCACATTTCAAATATACACCATATTTACATGTAAATTGTGTCTCACCAAAGTGGAAAAAGTGCTATCACCTAGCAGGGGTTATCTACAAACAAAAACACTAGTATATCTAATCAACTGTAGCAAGATTAAAATTACAAAAATATATAAACACATATATTGCTGTGGTATGATTCTTTTAATTTCTTTTGGAAGATACCCAGCAGGGGAATAGCTGTACTCAGCCATAAAAATGAGAAATTAGACACGTTTATAGCTAAATGGATGCACACTGAGGCTATATTCTTAAGTGAAATAAATAAAACACACATGTATAAATACCAAATCATTTCTCTGATGTGAGAAACTGAAAGTGAAAATAAGGACTAAAAGGTCTAATAGATAATGTGAAATAGGAAGAAAAGGGTCAAAGGGGAAGGGGAAGTGGGAAGGATTGGGGAAAGGAAAGAAGGGAATGGAATTAATATGAGAAAATGAAAAAGTGGAAACAAAGTCTTTGTTAATATGGAGGTGGGAAGGATTGAAGGGAGGGCAGGGAAATGGGGAAAAAATAAAAACCAAGATAGATTACATAAAGGTGCAAATTTCCAATGATGAATGTTATTAAATTATATACCTAAAATGTACCAATAAAATTAATTAAAACATGTACAGACACACTAATGTCCTGTTTCTCATGTAGCAGCTGTGGGAGTACTGTTCACACTTGCCACACAAGGCGGCAGCAGATGACCAGGAATGGCTCTTGGAGCCCCTGGGCCAGGAAAACCAGCACTAACTTGCAGAACACATGCTCTGAACAGAGACTGTGCTCCCAACATGGAGGAAAGGGAATTTCCATCCGGTTCTACCAGAGTATCCCAACTAGGAAGGCAACTGTATCTCCAATCCCTGTGCTATATTCCTTGTCTTGCAACTTCAACTTCAGAGCCCTCTTTGAGAAACTCCTAACTCTGAAAGATGCCTTCTGCTTTTCAGGATTGGTAGGGCTATGGTTTAAATTATGTGAAATTTCTGGAACATTCAGTTGTCCAGCAATTCCTCATACTGCTATCAGATAGGAGTATGGACCAAGTGTTTTACAGGTTCTTATTTTTCCCAATCAATGAATTGATCAGGACATTTGATGAATGTGAAAGGTCACTGTTTACTTTAGGGTATAAATAAAAAAGGGAGAATAAATGAAAACAAAGTGCTCAAGGAAAATAGCGTGCTTAGAAAGAAAAGAGAAGATACATCCCGAAAGCAAAATAGACCACTGCAAGAACAAGAGGGCAGTGGCCCCAAAGTCAATTGCTGCTGTTTGCTTGTTTTCTTTGGTAGTTGATCCAGGTGGTCCCACTTGAGCTTGTGCTAGAAGATTGATATCAGGTGCCAGGTTTAGCGTGGCCTTCTATCAGAAGATTGGTACCAGACGCGAGTCTCAGCTTGATCCCATGTAAGGCTTGGGAGCTGCGTTCTGCACCCACACAGTAAATCTCCTTAATTGGTAGGTTGTATCCAACTACTCCAGCCATGTTATCATGTCCTAGACTCTCACTACAATATTTTCTGGGCCATTTTATTTTCAGTGTCAATTAAAGTATATCTCCATCTGATACACACACATGCATGTTCACATGCTTAAGTACACACACACACACACACACACATACACACACACACAAACACACACACACACACACACACACAAATCCAGTCCCTTTTCTCCATCCAATCTCTTCAGTCATCTTTGCTGATATGTATAGTATGGACTGTTGGTGTTTCTGAAATTGACACCTGGAGGTACCAGGGAGAATAGCTTCCAATGGGAGATGTAAAGGTGAGAAGCTCTGAATGTAAAGCTCTGATCAGAACTTGGGGAGCAGCAGAGGAACTGCCAAGCAAGGAGGTACAGTTTGGAGTAGACTGAGTAGGTCCCCTTTGGCTATATTTTCTTTTTTGCAGCATCAGATCCTGGCTCATACCTGTGGCAACATACATTTCAGGGGACAACCTGTAGGAGCCACTTCTTATTTTTCTAGTTATGAGACCCACACTTGGGAAGGATTGTGTTCTAGGGGCATTTTCCATATGCTCATACCATAGCCATTTCTTGAATGGCTCATTCCATGTTGAGGTTCTCACTTGTCAACTTCATGATGTCTGCCCCTACAGCAACAAGAAATGTGAGTGTGCACTGTTGTGACATGGCAGTCCTGGGTCCCTCAAATGTGCTGGAAGAAGGAAAGGCCAGAAGTGAGAGCGGAAACAACCCTTCCATATGGAATTGGGCAGCTATGAGTTAATTATGTTATTAGGCAACTATGTGTTAACTGTGTTATTAGGCAACTATGAGGTAACTAGGTAACTATGCTCTTTGTAGAATGTACCTGAGTGGCCGTATAACTTCTTTAATCTATCACCAAAGGAGTGTAATGGACACAGAAAGTCCTGCCAGGACTCTTTGCTCTCCCCCTCTCCACTCCTTTGTTTTGTGTCAACCCTGCTTGCTATATTCCCAGAGAAATATAAATGGAATTAAGCTTTATAGATGTAAAAAGAGGTATATAAGGAAGTGCAAACTTCGATTCAGTGCTCCCAAGACTGACAGGAGTCACTCACTGAGCCACCTGCATCATTAAAAGCCAATTTTGTTCCTATCTTCATTTTAAAGAGTTACCTGTGCTGAGGTCTTCACTGTTTCCTGCTTCAAAAGCAGCATTAATCTCATAAATATTAAGCATCCATTTAATTTTCTACTCTCTGTGTCTGTTCATGGGGAGGGCACAAAACTCTGTGTAGCAAGATAAGTGTGAAAAGCATAAGTACAGATACTACTGAAAACTGTTTCATGTGTTAGCAACGTAGGCCACAAGCACACGTTAGTCAACAAACAGGCAATAAGGCCCAAAAATGATAAGGGGAAGATATGTACCAATTGTGGGGATAAACAAAACTACATACATATTTAGCTCCTGAACTGAAACTACAAATTCCATATTACCCAGGTATTCCCCTCCTAGGTATCTTCCCTAAAGAGCTTAAAACATCACACAACAGAAATGCACACATACCAATGTTTATAGCAACTCAGTTCGTAGCAGCCAACTCCTGGAAGCAGCCTGTATACCCACCAACAAATGATTGGATAAATAAAATGTATCTATACATAAGGGGATATTACTCAGATATAAAGAAGGATAAAGTTGAGCCATTTGTAGGAAAATGGGTGCACCTGAAAAATATAATGCTGTGTGAAATAAACCAGTCATACAATCTTAAATATCATATGATTTTTCTCATTTGAGTAAAGCAAAGTACAAGCAGAAATAATAAAGGATGGATACAAGCATACAAGGGGTTGGATATCTTGCAGATGGAAAGGGATCCAACAGATCAAGGTCGAGGGGAAAGGAGGTGGTCAAAGGGAAATGATTAGAATAAAGATATGCTATGTACAAGAACCTAATAACCTCAAAGAATGTAAAAATTATACACCACAAACAGGAGTAATATCAACAAAAATGAAAATGAGGAAAGGTGAATTAAAGGAAGTTTCTTTTAAGAAGAAACAAGTATTATATACATGTACCCACTCCCCAAGATGACTATAAAGGGCATAAAGATAATGTACTGAAAGCATGTACTAATAAAAAAAATAAGAATTGGGGTTAGATTAAGAAAAGATTAATGACTGGATTTCTTGATAGCAGCCATTCTTTGTGGGGTGAGGTGGAATCTCAGTGACCAATCTTCAATGACCAGTGATGTGGAACATTTTTTCATATATTTACTTGATGCTTTTACTTCTTTGTCTGAGAAATGTCTGTTCATTTCAGATGTCCATTTTTGAATTGGGTCTTTATAGTTGGGGGGCTGGTTGTTTTGAGTTCTTTATATATTCTAGATAAGAGTCCTTTGTCTGAGGAGCACCTGGTAATTTTTTTTTTCCCACATTGTAGGTTGTCTTTTAGTTCTGTTGATGGTTTCTTTTGCAGTGCAGAAGCTTTTTAATAAGATGAGATCCCACTTGTTGATTCTTTCTGCTAGTTCCCATGCTGCTGAGGATTTGTTCATAACATCTTTTCCTATGCCAATGTCTTCAAGAGTTCTGCCTAACTTCTCTTCCAGCAAGTTTAGTGTTTCTTTTTTAATATTTTTAATATTTTCATCAGTTGCTCAGGAGTAAGACCATATGTATAGTTAATGGCCTCTATGTTCTCTGCCCAAACCATGTATGCTTCTCCATGTGGAATGAGTGATTTCTAGCTGCTAGGGGAAAGTGCCATTTGCTACACTTGACTCAATATTTTCTTGGAAGAATTATCTGAGAATTCTTTTCTCGTTCTCTTTCAGGCTGGTAGTACCAAAGACATTGAGTTTATGTCTTTAGTTGTTCCATCCAGCAAGCTCCTGGTTTCACTTTTCTTTATAGGTTCTTGACACCAGTACCAGCCCATTCACTCCAAGTGGTCAAAATCCAGATGAACAGATCAAGCATGTCTCCCTGGCTACAGTTTGAAAAGTCATCATGACTTGCCTTCTGTTGTAAACAGTGTCAATATGATGAGACTGGGTCCCTTTGCCAGTCACGGCTTTTGCATGATTGCTCAGCCCTCACTATTGTGAGTAGCATTTCCCTTTGTTATGAGCTTCTATTTATGTATTCATTCATTCATTCGTTTATTTATTTATTTTGGTACTGGGGTTTGAATTTGGGTCCTTGCTCTTGCGAGGCAGTTGGCAGAGCCACTGAACTAAATCGCTGGCCTGTTATGAAGTTTTAAAATAGAGGTTGAACTGGATAACTTCTTGGTTGTCCCTCCTTCTGATTATGCCTACAAACCCAAGAGGGTCCTCACCATGCAGGCCAAAAACCCTGCCTTTACAGATTTATGTATGCTGAGAATCTTCACGAAGTGCTCTGGGGTCACGTCATGACATTCATCAAGCATAACTTGTACTGTACTTGGGCAGAGTTGTGAAGCGCTGAAGTTATGAAGCACTAAAGGTCAGGATTTCCAGAACAATGTTGAAGTGCACATAGTCCTTTTTGTGACCGGATGCTGCCCGTCATGGAGCTCAGAGAAACTTCTGAGGGTTTTTGAAAATTAATTTTATTGTTACAATTTAAATATGCATAACAGTCACATTCATCAAAGGGAATTTGAACCTGTACATGGTATATCTTGATTCCCTTTTTTTCCCAGTCTCCTCTCCTCCCTTCTATCCCTCTTCCCCTTCTTATTTACCAAAGCTGTTTCCATTTTTGCCTTCTTTTCCCTTTATTCCTCCTCTTCATAGTTTCTCTTTTCTTTTGAACAATTGCTTCCTATTTTACATTATCTATAATACACTTTTGTCCTTATTACCCTTTTAGTTTCTCACACCAAAGAGATGATGTGATATTTACATATGTGTGTCCAATTTATTTCATTTAAGAATACAGTCTCAAGGTGCATCCATTTAGCTAGAAATGTCTGAAGTTTATCTTTCTTTATGGCTGAATAGTACTCCATTATATTAAAACACATTTTTTATCCATTCATCAGTTTATTGTTTGGTTTGTTTCCAAGATTTAGCTATTACAAACTGTGTCATTATAAACATGGGTGTGCATATATCATTGTGGTATGATGCTTTAAATTCTTTTGGGTAGATACCTATCAGGGAAATAGCTGGGTCAAATGGGACATCTAGTCCTAGTTTTTTTAGTAATCTCCTCACAGATTTCCACAGTAGTTACACCACTCTGCTATCTCACCAACAGTGGAGCAATGTTCCTTTTTTCTTCACAGCTCCACCAGGGTTTGTTGTTGGTTGATTGGGTGTAAGTGACATCAGATGGTCGGTCTCAGAAAACCCTCCCTTAGGCTAGGGATGTAGCTCTGTGGCGCTGCTCTGGCAAGTGCAAGGTCCTGAGTTTGATCCTGGTACAAAAAGAAAGAAAGGAAGGAAGGAAGGAAGGGGAAAAGAAGGGAAGGGAAGGGAAGGGAAGGGAAGGGAAGGGAAGAAAGCAGTCCAGTGGAACAGAAAGAGTTATACCTGACTTTAAGATAACTGGCAGGAAGTTAATCCCCCAGTCCCATGTGTAGTGGAACACTGGACCAAGGATACTTAAAATGAGTGACCTTCAAATTAACAAGCTCAACATTAATCAATTTATTCATTTTGTCTCTATTTTTTTACAATATAGATCTGCTTAAATCAAAATGTTCCTTTAGTAGTGAGGGAAGAGCAAGTCTTAATTCATATGGATACTTTCTTTGCTGTCAGCGAGGGAGAATGCATATAAAATATAAAAACAAATTTACATTCATTTTAGTTAGATTTCATAGACTAAATTTTGGATTTTTTTTCCTCTTCCATCAGAGAATAATGAATAAAGACTTTCCCCTGGTGAAGGCTAGATATGTGTGCCTCTTTAACCAAATCATCATTTCCCTATAGTCTCCACAGGTGTTTGGAGAATTGGCAACTAAATTTGCTGTTGTGTTTTGGATAATAGGAAACTTCTCATTGCTTGTTATAGGAGTAAGGCTAGAATAAGCACAGAGATCACTAGTCAAAGCTGCACTGGTGTAGGACTCCTCATACCAATCAAGCAGGTGTGCCATCATTGGTTCCAAGAGAAGTCTCTTAGTTTAAAGAAAAATTGAAAATGAGTCTGAATGCTTTCTTTGGGACAACATGTGCCTGTATTGTCCAGTCTCGGTTCATGTATTTAACTAGTCATTTCAGAAAATATTAATTTTATCCTGGCCACAGCTACCAGCAAGGAGGAATAAGAATCTCAAGAGGAGAGTATCTGATATTGTTGTCAGCATCTAGATGATAAATTAGATCTAGAGGCTGAGTACCATCACAAGCAATGAGAAGTTTCCCATGTCAGTAAGGAGCACAAGCAACCATATTATGGAGCCTTCATTGAAAAATGGGGGGAAGATGGTATATGGAAAGGAATAAAAGTTTAGAAAATCATTCAACATGTGAACCTTAAAGTAAAATTTGCTTCATTTTACTCATTTGCTTATGTAAATAGGAAACTGTTGCCTAGAGATAATCATTGAATGATTATTTTGTTCTGTAGCAATAACCAGGTGCTTCTTAGACGGAGCAAGAATTCTATGTGAATTAGAAAAGCATAATGATAATTGTTACTCCTCTAAAAGGAAAATCTCAAGGTAAAACCCACAGTAACCTGCGGGGAGTAAATGCTGAAAAGCTGAACCAAAGGCTCTGCCATCTGTTAGTTGAGGAGGTCCATGTGTTATGCACGTGAGGTGAAGTTGAGCAGTCAGCCCTAAGGTATACAAGCAAAGCATGAGGGCTTGCCAAAAGATTTAAGTTGGGAACTCAACACTTTATTCTTTCAGCTATCCTATGCATAAACCCCTTGTTCAGTCTAGGTCAGGAACTTATTCTGGTTAGTGGCCATGCATTGATAAAGAGACATTGCTGGATATGCTGAAAAGTTCCATATTTCAAATAGTGGCTGTGTATGAAATAGGTTTAGAAGAAAAATGGATCAATTTTGATGTTAGTGGTTTTAGATACATGCACACAAACACACAGAAGATTTTTCTTGGTTTAGTTAGTCCACTTACAGTGTTCAAAGTGCAAAGTGTCTGGCATCACTTAGCCCAAATGCCAGATGTCAGGCCCTGTCAAATTGCCCAATTAGTTGGCATTTGCAGCCCCAGCTCTGAGGACCAACCTGGTCTTCTCTACAAATGCAGCTCTATAATGTAGGAAAGGGACTCTGTTTAAAAGTGTAAAAGATCTGGCTCTCAAGTGTGGCACTGCTGCTTGCCCACTGTGTTCTTTCACCAAATCATTAAACCCTGTCAATTTCATTAGGGTCACATGTAGTCATGTGGGCGATTTCCTACCAGCCTCCTTTTCCTAGCGTGTATTAGAAAGCCCACACCATACCTGCCTCAAGATTACTGTTAGGAACTCACATACACTGTGGCATGTGGTAGGTTTTCCTTTAAGGGCAGGTCCTCTCTCCCCAACTACCCTCCCCACCTAACCTTTGATGATGCATTCTGCCCTCACTTTATGTTCTCATTTCATTTAATAGCACTCTTAAGACAGGTTCCAACCTCACATCTTGAGCTAACCTGGATTCCCTTCTTCAAAATCCTAAGTTTGGAAAAAATCCAGAGAAGTCTCTTTCATGTAGTAGTCTTAGCAAATAGTTTTATCTTATAGCAGAGATTATTTTGAAGGGCTAATTTCTTTCTCTGCTATTAAATAGAGAGTTTAGTTTTAAGACTGAAGGACTTGTACAAGGTCCGAATGATGAATGTAACTGTACTGTATACCTACAATGTACCAATAAACTCAATGAGAAAAATAAATAAATGAATGAATAAATAAATAAATAAATAAATAAGACTGAAGGACTTAAGATGGTATAAGCAGGTTTAAACAAATTGTGAAGGCATGTGGAGATGATATATTATCCTTACTAGGAAAAGAGCTTTACTTTGCCCAACCTGGACCAAGTGTGCACTTACATTACAAAATATTATCCTCCTTCACATTTTAATTAAGTTTCTTATACATTTTAGGTTTATATTATGATCACATTCATCACTGGAAATTTATACCTGTTTTACTATATGTGCTGCCAAAGCGAGCACTGGGAATTTGTACCTGTACAGAAACAAAGTTTTTGTAAATGCTTCTTCACATTTATGATTTCATGTTTCATATATCTAAGTGGGTTGTGAATGACAGAAAATTTGTTTTCTCAAGTTTTCTGTCACACTGTGTTTTTAGTAGACACTTTGTTTGAATAGGATATCATGTATTTAAGCCTGTAGGATTCTTCCTGGGTATTACTAAGTCATATTGTGTACATGTGGTTTCAGGGTCCAAATATATTGACTTCTTTATTATTTGGTTGTTTGCGGTACTGCTACAGAGAAAAGGGTAGCCTCATATCCTTTCTCTTTTGCTTGCCATATAACCTTTTGATGTCTTTGTTTTTGATTTTTGAGACAGGGTCTCGCTATGTAGTTCAGACTGCCGTGGAACTCACTATGTAGCCCAGGCTGGTCTCAAACTCACAGCGATCCTCGTGCCTCTGCTTCCTGAATGCTGGGATTACAGGCGTGTGCCACCATGCCAGGCCATAAAGCCTTCTAGAATTCAAACATCATCTTTTCAATCTTCTGGTTTTCCAACTTTTATTTTGCCCTCCCTTCACCCCTCCTCCCTTCCCTATTTACAAATACTTTATTTCCATTTTTTCATTTTCTCATATATTTTTCTTTTCTCTTATTTCCTTTCCCCTACCCTTCCCACTTCCCCTACACCTTTAGCCCTTTTCTTCTTATCTCACATTGTCAATTATACCATTAGGATCTTATGTACTATTATAGATTTTCACAACAGAGAAGCTATTTGGTATTTACACATGTGTGACTTACTGGTTTTCCAACTTTGGAAACACTGGCCACATGTTCTTGCACAAAACATCTAATTGGGAAAAAATGGACCTATACCCACTCCTAACTTTTATGTCAGTAATGCTGTAAATGTTCCCCAGCATTCTCCTTAGAAAGATAAAGAATTGAGGCTGTTATTGAAGAGAGGTTTCAGTCACACTGTGTCAGTAGAGCATTTCTATTCTAAGGAGCAGCAGCAAGGCAGTTCATTTCAGTGAAAGACTGAATTAAAGGTTATATACTTTGAAATCCTAAATTAAGGTTCGGGTTCTCTTTTGCACTTATTTGGATTTTTTAAAAATGAAAATGACATACTTTTTACTAGGCTTTTCAACTTATAACAGCAAGGAATCACATTTTAAAAAGTATTTTGAAATAGAAATTCTGACAATTTGGAGGCAAATCTGAATTGGGCATACTATGGATTCAGTGTATTGGTGAGAATTTCTCATAATAGTATCTTAGCATGAAGTTGACACCCAACTTGAAAGGAATTCTACAAAAATTTCATAAAAGCCTCTTTGAAATTATACCAGTGCCGTAAAATTTCAAATCAACAGTTGTCGAAAACCTGTTATTTAGAATATAGAGTATAGAGCCAACAGACTTTTGTGTGTGCACACCATTGCTTTTATAAATATGGTTTAGGTTGGAAAAAGGAGTGCCTACTCCTTTATGTTGGAGGTTGTCTGCGTTGCTGCAGGCTGTAGAAGTGAGCCTCCTTCAAAATCTGGTTGATGTAGTAATAAGGACCTTGGCCCAGTGCATATTCCTCGTGGAAGGACTGAGGGATGTTCAGATTGAATTCAGCAATCATCTGATTTAAGCCATATTCTGGTCCACCTGCTCTCTCTGAGCTAATAATGCTGCTCCCATTTCTTTCACTGTCATTGCTTGAAGACTAGAAGGACAAAGACAGAAAGATGATTAGTTAATACAGTTGCTGCTGTACAGAACATGTTCCTTGCTCATCTTGGAGAATGACAGCATCAAACTCTACACTGGGATTAACAGTATACAAGTACAGTCACTTTAACTAATTCATTTTATCCTAAAACAACCCTATAAATTATTGGGATGAATGGCTCTCGTTTTCCAGGTGAAGAAATAAATCCTCAAAGTCCCAAAGTTACATAGCTAGGAAGCATCAGCATGAAGATTTAAGCACAGGCCTTTTAATTCTATATCCCTTAGCATAGCCTCTGCCTCACCTTGTACCATTCAATTCACTAACCTGCATCAGAGAAGCAAGTCCTCACCTTCCAAGGGAAAGCCTCAACTGACCCTACAGAATGTAGTGAAAATCAGGTCCATAAAAGTAAGATGGATTCTCAGAAGAGGAGACCATGGCAAGAACTCTTAACTAATTTGCACTATATAACAATGCTGACATTGCAATTCTGATAAAGGATTGTTTTCCAAAGTTAACATTAATAGGACTTAAACCAAGGAGAGTCATGATCCAGTGGTCATTTGATACTGCTTAACTTAGGTTATATACTAGGTTTCCCTCATGCATCAATAGATAACCTATATTCACTTTTATGCAAATATACTCATATATTAAAAGAACTGTCCATGAAAGGCATAAACAGGGGACAAGGGAAGCCATGTATGAGAGCAATCAACAATGGCTACAAAATTTACTTAAAGGCGAGATGTCAGAAGCAATTTCAAAAGAAAATTTCTACAGAATCCTTGGCATGATATTCAAGGCCACTGATGATCTTCTCTCGCACATTCTTCTCCCAGTAATTTTTCCCTTGGAGGTACCAGCCTCCAAGGAGAATTTTTCACTCCAAGGAGAATTTTTGCCTCCTCAGAAGTTCTTCTTTGCCTAGCTTGTGCTCTTGTTGTTCTCATTTTCTTTACTCTTCCCATGAATGTCCTCACCCTTAATAGCCATTGAAACCCGGGAATTGTAATAATAGTGTCTTTTACTTTTCTTGTTGCTTTGACAAAATATCAGACACCCAAAGTTAAAGGAGGAAAGGTGTATTGTAGCTCACAATTTGTAGATGTTTCAGTCCATAGTTGGCTTGCTCTGAGCAGAGTGGCATGGCAGAGGGGCATCTCAGAGGAGAAACTGCCCATCATGTGTCAGGGCAGGCATAAGAAGCAGCCAACAATAGCAACAGCAGGAGGCCTGCCTTCTTTTTGTTCATTTTTTCCCTTCCAGGCTACCTGTCTTTTGTGTGGTGTGATCCACATACAGAGTGGGCACCCTTTATTACAGAATTACACTCTTAATCCCACTGTCACATCTTTAATCCCAGCATCACACATGCTAATCCAGCCATCTTTGAAACTCACCACCTATGACCACATGAGGCTTTGGGGGAACATCTAGATACAAGCCATGACAATGTCTATTCAAAGGCACCTGCAGAAACTAGATTAACTGAAGCCAATACTCCTCATCAACCCATCAGAACCCTTAAAATATGTGCTCCTAAAGTTACAACATGACAGTTCAATATTTCTTCATACTACTAAAGTACTGTGGAATTTTATGAACTGCATAATATCAAATTAATCAGGCTGTTGAATTACAGTTTTCCCATCAGCAAAGGAATGATGTTCATGCACTAACCTCTCTGCACCAATGAGGTATCTATTCTGTGCTTTTTGTATCTTAGTTTCCCTCAGAAGTTGATATTGGACCAGAAATTGAGTTCTCAGTTATTTTCTAGCTCAAAAATCAAACCCATGATAAGTGTCAAAATTTATGCAACCTTACCTACCATGTTTAAACTCAGCAAATGGAATTTGAACAAAGACACAAACGAATAAATAGAAAGACTGACAAGTAGTCATCACCTACAAGGAACAACTGGACATGTTTATCTTCATTAAACAAGTGAGATTATAATATTCAGTTGCAATATGAAATTTCTTGAGATACTTAATATGCTCTGTAACCAAAGTTTCTTAAAATGTATACCACAGATTATAACACCTTTGGAAAAGTTTGTCCCTTAGTTTTGAATGTATCTTTTAATAGAAGCTAATTTTAGAAGTTTCCTATTTTGCTGCAGGGTTTGCAAACTTAACTAGTGATCATTACTTGTTTCAGCAGATTGACTCTCCCAAAGTTGTCGAATGAAGTTATACATCTTATATGTATGCTATGCAATCAAAGCTGTTGAGAATGACTGAACCCCACTAAAAATCCCAGAGAAATTATTTTTTTTCTAAATTTTGGGCAAAATTTTCAGTTATCATCTGAGTTTATACTATTTAAATGTTGACCTGATAGGGGAAAGTTCCTACATTGTGAAAAAATGAAAGATTTATACAAATCATTAAACTTTTTCCTCTCATTTTGCTTCTTTGTTCCCTTGGAATCCTATCATTAGGACATAGTTTGAGGTTTATTCCAGCAAGCCACTCGTGTTTATATCTATATATATTTTCACTGTCACTTCTGGTATTATTGAGTTATCAGAAAAATACTGTAAAATGAATGAATGTTCTTGACAAGTAAGATGTACACTAACAGAAACATTTGTGTGGGGTTTTTTTTGCACTACTATAAGTCTCATGCCTGTGTTCCATGAAAAGTAGTGGCATAATTTGTGAAAATGTTAACGTTGAAAATAAGGAGAAATATTTATATACTTGCAACTACATACAATTAAAAATGCCATCAGCAAACAGGAAAAAATTACATGACTTAAACCTAGATATATTTTACCCATCCAAGTAGCTGCCCAGAATCTATAAATATAGCTACCTTTTTGCAGATTCTAGACAGAGGAAATGAATTGACAATCCTTTCACCTGTTGCTTATGAATGGTAAAGTGAGCATTATTTAATAACAATATTCAACCAGAAAAGCTTCACAATTCTTTTAAACTCTTATAGTAAATGACACCAATACTGCTGTAATGAAAGGAAGAAAGTAATTTACAGTTTCTTGAATTTAAATTCAAGCTATCCAATTCAAGGACCTCTATAGTTTTGCAAAATATTTTGACACCACCCCTCAATTTAATATTTATTTTTCCATTAAGAAATCAAGAATTGCTTTCTAGCTAATGACATATTATTACATACTTGAAAATATATTTTTCATCTAAAAATAAGGTGAAATAAAATTATTATTCCCTACTTATCAATGAAAAATGTCCAAATTCATCCTGGGTTTTTGTTGTTGTTGTTGAACAAAATCTTTGTGAGTTTCCTTTCCCTCTTCTCTAGGATATTGGTATCATAAATAAGAACTGTGGCTCAAAAGTCACTGCAGTCAAATAAGAGTACTATTATGCTTTCATGGTATAATACTGTTCATTAAAGAGATTGAATGTAAGGATTTAGTGTAAGCAATGAATGAAATAGGGAAGCTATTCGATCATATTTCCTACCTCCACATTCTGAGACTCCTGAAAACCAGGGTTTGCCTTACTCCGTTTGGATTGTGGACAATGTTCGTTATCATTGTCATTGGAATTTATTCTCCTTTTTCTGTAAATAAATTATAAAGAGGAAATTCTATCATAAAACATTTGATCTTTTCATTTAAGCCAGTAGCAATGTATATACTTAAGACTTGTGTAAGAAGAAAACATGTTATTTTATCTTGCTCCAAGAGAGTTAAAATCACAAATTTATCACTGCACATAAAAAAGAAATATATAAAAGAGGGACTAAAAAAAAGTGAAGCAGTAAATTTCATTCTTGTCATTAAAATCCATGTCAATAAAGAAGTTTGAGATATTTTCTAAGAAAACAGAAGTCACTGCTGCTCTAACAAATTTAAAATTAGAAGTATATATTATCAGGTGGCACTAAGACTAAAAATATAAAACAGGAATTCTACATATAGTCAAGCTATAAGTTTAATTTCCCTAAATCAGCATCATAATATTAATTCATGCTTCAGAATAAAAACATAAAGAGCTTTATAGTTAAGTTTTTAAAGTCTACCTAATAAAGTCCATTGTCTCCATTCCCTGAAATTACAATTCCAGGTTATGTGAAATTTTAACCCTTTTCACCATATAATAACTTGTAAGACGTGTGGCTTCTAGTGTCTACTTCCTGGTAAAACACTTTTGCAAGTGGTCCAGGGACACTGAAGAGACACTTCTTGTGTGCTGTTGCTATAACAACAAGTATGACATAATAGTTACTTCATTTGACTGTCACAATGAGATTGTGGCTCACTGCCTTAAAGCAGTATTTTCCCAAATATTTTATTTATTGGTAGGATAACATCTTTAGCCCCAATTTCACTCTTAGCAAAATTTAATTTCAGGTTTTATTGTTTAACACTATAATTCTCACAGATACCCTATAATTTTCGGGCACTCTCTCCAGCCATCCACATCCACTTAGTGATTACTTCTAAGTGTTTTGGTACTTCTAAGTACAGTTCAGTATCCTCATTTTTATGGTTTTGTTTTTCTCCTATCTTTCTATCCGGAAGACTGATCACAAGGGGAATCTTAGAGATCATGTAGACTAGTAGATCAAACTCTCTATTGAAATAAAAGAAAGAAAACTAGTACAAAATAAAACAATAAAATTCCAATATATAATAGAAAAACTTCTAGCCTGAATCTGCTTTCCTGTGTCAACTGATAATTTGGCTTGACTTTTCTTCTTGAAATTGAGGAAATAGCACATCCAGAAAAGCTAAGTGACTTAACAGTAAAGTAAAAGTAGTAAAGCTGGGACTGAAAGGGAAATTCTCTTGAGTCCTGGCCCAATCCCCTCTGTGGGACCCTATAGAAAAATTAGTGAAGAATTGGATATATAATCACATAATGTTTTTATAGCAAATAAATTGCCAGTATAAATGAATTCAGTTTGATTTTGTTTGGTGCGATTTAAAAGAAATTTTCTCTATAGGAAATATATAATTCTTTTTTTTTCCTCATTGAGGTTATTGGTACATTTTAGGTATACAGTACAGTTACATTCATTATTGGGATTTTGTACCTTTTTGAGTTATATCAGGCATACCACAGCAACACCAGAAGTATTAGCTAGACTTGGGGAGAGAAAGAACACTACAATATGACCAGTCTTTCTTCAAACATAATGTTTACTGGCAAACTATGTTGTTTTCTATGTAATACTGCATATTGAACCCAAGGCCTTTTCACTGACCTGTATCCCTTGCCCTTTACTTTTATTCATTTATGTATTTATTGAGAAAGTCTCCCTAAGTTGTCCTGGCTGGGCTCAAACTTGTAGTCCTGTGTTCTTAGTACCAATAACATTTTGGTAATTGGGCTCCTAAGTTCTTACTTAGTATATTCTTTTTTACACTTCCCATACCTTGTTACAGAAACCAAATAAAAATATAATACAGCAAGTAAAGTTATTAACTTTTAGTACTAGATTATATAACATTGGGATGCTTTACCAAGTCCGAGTTCAATGAATTGCCTACAATTCAGGGCACGGTTGCTGTGGAAAGTGAGCCAGCATTGACAGCCAACCAAAACATGAAGCAACAATAAAAGATCTGCCACATCTACCAATGAAATTCTGTGTTATATTGTTACTGGGTTTTAGGATGCTGGAGTCTCCTTCTCAACGTAGTTTTTAGAAACTACCTGAGCAAAGAATCAGTCAAGACAAGCACAAATTGTACCAAAGTTTTATTAAAGGTAGGAAAAGAAACAGGCTCTTTGGACCAAGTAAAATTAGGAAAAGAAGCACACCCTATAGCATAATTGTAGCCACCATGCAAGAAAGAACACAGTGGCAAAAATTTAATGTGGACTGTCCTTTTTGTATTGCCCCAGACTGACATCAGGTTCAGGTCCTCAGTCTTAATTACTTTTATCATTGCTAAGACAAAATACCTGACCCCACTGTTAAAGGAGGAAAAGTTTATTTTTGCTTAAAGTTTGTAGAAGTTTCAGTACGTAATTAACTTGATCAAAGGCAGGGTGGCATGGCAAAGAGACATCACAGAGAAGAAATAGTCCATGGCAGGGCAGGGCAGGCAGAAGGCAGCAGAGCAGCAAAATAGCAAAACAGCAACAATAGCAAGCAACAGCAGCAGCCCTCCTTCTATTCCTCATATTCCATTCAGGCTATAAGCCCTTAGGGTAGGTAGCACTCACACCGGGATGGGGCACCCTTGATTCCAGCATCACACAGGTAGTCCCTGCACCACACACCCTAGATCCTGCCACCTCCAAAACTCCCCACACCCAGGACCCCATGAGGTTTGGGGGGACATCTAGATACAAGCCATAGCATTCTGGCCTGGCCCCCCAAAGACTCATGCAAATCCCTTTATGTAACATACATCTAGTCCATCTCTGAGTTACCAAAATTGTAAAGAGTTTCAGCATTGCTGAAAAGTCTAAGTCTAAAGCCTCTTCTGAGATTTAAGGCAAACTCTCAGCTTCAAGACCATATACACATGAAAGTAAAGTTAAGCACTCCCAACATACAATGGCAAAAGATAGACATTTCCATTCCAGAAGGTACAAATAGGAGGATAGAAAAGAACAGGACCAAAGCAAGTCTAAAATCCAGAAAGGCAAACATTAAGTCCTAAAGTTCCATATTCAAAACCCAAGGTTCTCTGTGGCAAGTTGTGGACTCCAAAGGCCTTGGGTGGCTCCAACCCTACAGCATTTCCTGTGGTTGTAACTTCCACAGCTTCTCTCTTGGGCTGGCTTCATTTCCCCTTTGCAATCTTTCTCAGACAATCCACCTTCCTGGCTTCTCCATACTTGTTTCTGGAGTCTCTGCTGCACCTTTGGCTCCACATTCACAGCTTCACCCTATCAGGGGCACATTGCCTGGCCTTGCAGGCCTTCTCCTGAAATCTGGGTGGAAGATTTCCTGATCTCACAACTCTTGAATTCTGCTTGTACCTAAAACTAGTACCATATGGATGATGTCAAGGTGTTTTGCTAGCTGGAGCAGTACCCAGGCTTATTTTTTACTTGGCTGGAGGGCTTGAGTGCCTGGACTGCTGAGTTCTGTGAAACCAATCTCAAAAATCAAATTCTCTAGGCCAGTGACATTCTGGACCATGGTGCACTGAGGCTCTATTCTTAAAGCAAAGCCTTTCATCTTTGCAATTTTCAGGCTGCAAAGGCTGGACTTCTGCTGGATCTTGTGATGCCCTCAGGCCATCTTTTCTATTGCCCTCTTCTAAAAAGCTTTGCTTTTTATTCCTAATCTTTTCAACAACCAGGTTTTCCTTTGTTCCACTTTATAACTACAGAACATTACTGGAGCTTCCTTTATGGTCAAACTCAAAACTTTTAATCACTTTGCAGAGCCATTTGTTCTTGATTTGCAACATAGTTCTGGCTAAAATTTCACAACAGAAGCCATGTCACTGCCTCAACATTAGACTGCCTCTAAATTTCTTCCACCAGTTTAGCCCCCACACTTAATCTCATTTCTGATGTCGCTGGATAAGAGCAAAATGCAGAAAAATTGTATGCCAAAGCATAATAAACATGGTCTGCAGTCCAACAGCTAATACAGTCCTTATTCCTAACTGAAACTTACTGAGCATGGTCTTTACTGGCTGCATTTCTATCATCATTCTTGTCTTCTGATCTCTTATCAGAGTTTCTCACCAAGTTCAGCTTACAGCATTCCAGGGCTGCTTCTTCAGCCAGTAATTCCAAATACTTCCAAATTCTTTCCACAAGCCATTTCCAAAGGCTTCTGAACCACATGTCAGGTAATAATAACACAGCAATGACTCCACTTCTCTGGTACCCAAATCTGTCTTCGTTATGTTTTGCTGCTGGAACAAAATACCCAATACCCACAAGTTGAAGAAGGAAATGTTTATTTTAGCTCACAATTTGTAGAGATTTCAGTCCTTAGTCCACTGGCTCCAAATCAGTGCACATGTCAGAGGGTTATCCCACAGGAGAAAGTCAGTGGCAGAGCATCAGGAAGCAGCTCCCAGTGAGCATTCCTTTCGCTTTGATACCACCTAAGCCATAAGCCTATTGGATTGTGCCGCCCACACTCAGGTGGGCCTTCCTAATATCCACATTCAAAACTATGCTAAAACAATTTAATTATCACACACCTTTAATATATGTTCACATATCCTAGATCCAGTAACCTCTAAAATGCCCTACGTATGAGCTCATGAGGCTTTGGGGTAACATCTAGATAAGGCCATAACACTGTGCTAATAAGGAGTAAAACTGCAGATAATGAGGCCAGTGAAAATATTGGTTCAAGTGAGAGATGAGGCTTGAATTTGGACAGTGTCCTTAGGAATAGAGAGAAGTAGAAAGTTTTAGAGATGGAGAAATAAAGAAGAGTTGGTAATAAGATCTGCATTAAAGTCTCAGCTCCTCTAGCTTGAACAAAAAAATCTTAACATCACAGAGTTTCAGTTTCTTGGTCATTAAGATGAGAGTTATATCAGGTAGCTATTATAATGTTAAATATATAAATCACTCAAAACAGTGTCAGAGACAAAGTAGATATTTTTGTGTGCACATTTTTCTTCCAAAGATCTCTTTAGTTATATGAGTGGGCACATAAAGTCTAGTCAGGATTTTTGAGACATTGAAATATTACATATACATACAATATTTAAGATAGTTGACCTAATCCCTATTGCTAAGAAAGTTATTAATAGAAGTAAATTAGTATTTGAGCCACTACTATGTGTTAGATGACAGTCTATCTAGGTACTTTTATACATACTATAAATAATTTGATTTTTTCCCATTTATTTCCATTATTTTTATTTCTTTCATCAGAGTTGTATAATTTCACATAAAAACTTATGCATCTGTTATTATATTATACTTATGTATTTTTCAAAATATTGAAATTATATTGTGCTTTCAATTTTGGCTTCCATTAGACTGTTTCTCATAAATATCAATATATAGTTAATTAATTTTCCCCACTAAGTTTATTGGTACATTTAAAGCAAACAATACAGTTGCATTTGTCATTGGGATCTTGTACCTTTACATGGTGTATTTTGGTTCTTGTTTTTTCCCCATCCCCCTGCCCTCCCTTCACTCCCTTCACTGTTCCCTATTTACAAAGACTTTGTTTCCACTTTTTCCTTTT